ACTTCTGCTACCCACTTCTATCCAGTGACATATGTTTACTTCTGCTACCCACTTCTATCCAGTGACATATGTTTACTTCTGTTATCCATTTCTGTCCAGTGACATATGTTTACTTCTGTTATCCATTTCTATCCAGTGACATATGTTTACTTCTGTTATCCATTTCTATCCAGTGACATATGTTTACTTCTGCTACCTATTTCTATCCAGTGACATATGTTTACTTCTGCTACCTATTTCTATCCAGTGACATATGTTTACTTCTGTTTCTCCCACATTTAAACATTCGCAGATTTTTGCATTCTGAATTTGATAGACAAACAGGCCTCAAAGTTCAGGACTATACAATGAAAGTGGTTTTTAATACGAAAGTGAGCGTAAACCCTACAATAAGTGTATGCCTCCTGAAGGAAAATATTAATAGGTTTTAATGGAGGTTTAATATGAAAAAACCTAATCATCTATCGTATGCAAGGCTAGAGTAAAAAAGTTATAAAATATATCTGTGTATCTATTTATATACGTGCTTAGTATTCTTTCTCCAGAACTGATTCATTAGGTTACCGTATCCCATGTTTTATTTCTCGCTTTGTTCATGTTTTCCTCAGACATCTGAAACTATACAGTGTAACTCTCTATATGTATACAATCATACAAATCGACTTGTTTACCTATTTGTCTAGTAACGAAGTTCTTAGCAAATATCTATGTATATAATGTTTAGACAACAACGTCCAAGGAACGACCATTGTTCAAAGCCGTGGAAGGTTGCATACTGAAATGTTTATTATAAAAAAACAAAGAATCTGAAGCAGATCACATGTATAGTAATAGACGAATTAGCTGACAAGTCACGAGGTGATATTGACATTCTGGCGGCGTGACTTAACGTCGATTTCCACAGTGTTTTCATGTATAGTTCTCCTCAATTTCAAAGTTTTATAGTCTGTAACTCTTATTCGGTGACGAGAATAATTTGAAAGTGTAAAGTTATCATACGATGGAAGTCGTTATTCTTGCCATTCTCGTTTTAACGTGCACAACAATGAATTAAAATATAAAGTTGTACTTTGTGTCAATAAGTGCTTTACCAAAATAAACTTGTCTTTTGCTGCTTTTAACCTAAATGTTGTCTCCTCCGTTTCACCGAAACCTAGACTAGTCACCACGTAACTTAAAATACTGTGATATTCTTATATATATCTATAATCATATCAATTCTTATTATACACAAAAACCTAAAAACTAATACTTATATCACGTAATTTTATAATATTCATGATACTCAAAGAACTCGTAAAAAAACAAAATCAGTAAGTAAGTTAAACTATAACCTAAGCCTTATATTAACGCAAAACACGTGGAAAATATATTTCTTGCTAGCATTTAGTGTGATCGACAGCATATAAGTTTAATAGTGAAAAAAGTGTACTAATAGGTTTGATTTCCTCTTTTACATATACCTGAATATATATACTAATTTTTATACGTAAATATAAATTTGATTATTCAGTTAATGTTATTGTTAAAAGTATTAATTTAGAAATCATTATTTAGTCGCAACTACAAATATATATTTTTTTTATATTTCGTTCGTTTGAAGTTAAGCGTAAAGCAACACAATTGGTTATCTGTGCTCTGCCCACCAAGGGTATCGAAATCCAGATTCTAGAGTTGTAAGTCTGCAGACATGGCGCTGTGCCAATGGGTGGCATTTGTTATATTTTATTAGATCTATAACAATATGATAAAAACAATTATTTTTTAAACATTTAAGGAAATATCTATGTTTGAAACTTTCATATACGTATTATAATTGTGTATCTTTTCATTCTTTTCCTCTTGTATTTAGTAAGATTATTGAGTAATTCTACTGAGGATAAGCAGTCATTTCCTCTAGCTATTGTAAGTACACTAATTTCGAAAGAGAAGTAGCACTCTTTCCCCATATAAGAAACTAAGATTTTAAGATTTTTTCACACAGTATTATACGAACTTCACTTAAGTACACTCATGTTGAGAGAGACGTAGCCCTGGTTCCCCCATACAAGAAACTAAGATTTTTTCACACAGTATTATGCGATTGTTACTTAAGTACGCACGTGTTGAGAGAGACGTAGCCTTGATTCCCCATACAAGAAGCCTAGATTTTTTCACACAATATTTTGTAAACTTCACTTAAGTACACACATGTTGAGAGAGACGTAGCTTTGCGTCCCCCATACAAGAAATTAAGATTTTTTCACACAGTATTATACGATTGTTACTTAAGTACGCACGTGTTGAGAGAGACGTAGCCTTGATTCCCCATACAAGAAACTAAGATTTTTTCACACAGTATTATACGAATTTCACTTAAGTACACGCATGTTGAGAGAGACGTAGCTTTGCTTCCCCATACAAGAAATTAAGATTTTTTTCTTACAGTCTTATGTGAACTTCTCCGATTAAGAAAGAAGAAAAAAAAGGTTTTGTGGGAACTTATATTTTATGATAATGTTATTATTTCACACAGTTACATGAACTTTACTATTTTGTGTTTTTTAATTTTCTGTTAGTTTTCATAATTCAGAAGTAAAAACGTGAAAATTAAAAACTAAACAAGAGTTGACTAAAGTAATTTTTCTATTACTTTTGCTGAAATTAATTATTCTGTCAAGAAACACTTAAACCTCTCGCGCAAGAACGTCACTTAGTCAACTAATGACGTAATATTTGTATAATATAAACGTTGTATATATATATATATTGATGTTCCTTACCATAAGGATTATAGTTGTAGACTGTATATCAAATACTGACACATCTTATTGTTAGTAAATATCGAGATTAAATATTTACTGATTATACATTTGGTAACATTATATCAATAAACGGAAAGCTCAGTGAAGCCTTTTCCGTGCATTTCATTACTGTCGCTTTTGTAGTGTCATATATTTCTGTTAATGTGAGTATTAAGAATAAATCAAACCAATAGCGATAAAAATTAATGACGGAGAGTTCCTAATATATTCTGTTATTATAAAGACAAAACATTATGTCACGTAAAAATATTGTTACAAAACATGATGTCACGTAAAAATATTGTTACAAAACATGATGTCACGTAACAATATTGTTACAAAACATGATGTCACGTAAAAATATTGTTACAAAACATGATGTCACGTAAAAATATTGTCACAAAACATGATGTCACGTAAAAATATTGTCACAAAACATGCACCTGTCAATACGGTATTTCGTATTATTATCGAATATAATATACAGTGGTACAGATAAAAATTGAAAGTAATTAAAAGGACACGGAACTTATACGAATTGGGTTTTTGTAATACAGCTTCCCCTCTTGATAGGCAAAACAACCACAATATATGATTATGACCTCTGTATAATATCCACAACGAAAATCGACATCGTACCCTCAATGACTGTTCTACCAATATGTTTCTTTGTTGCTAAACGCAAAGCTACACAATGGACTATGTGTGATGTGGCCACCACGGGTATCGAAACTCAGATTTTAACGTTATAAGCCTGAAGACTTACCGATAAACCACTTGGGGGAATTCCGAAGACTACCGTTAGTATATTATTATTGGGCTCGTGTGCCTTAAGAGATACGAACCAGGAAGGTACTAAGCTCTATTTAGAATAATAAATTGAAAATAAGCACAGTAGTAATAATGTAAAACATGTTTTAATTACTATACTCTTTCTCATACAATCATAAAACTAATAACACACAGGATTCCTTAAAAGGGAAGCAGCTGTAAGTAGATTAT